AGACTGAATTTGCTAACAGTACTTGTTCAAATACCATTGTTCATAACAGTTGATAGGGCAACTTCTTTCGTATTTGGTTTCATTGTTATAAAACCATATTCACTATGCAATTCCTCACGATTATTCATATCCCATGCAAAAGCTCTAAAATTACATTCATCATTGAGAATATTTGATAATGATATAAGTTCATTTGATAACCTTTTGATAAATTTGATAAGCATTTGTTCATTGAATGCTTAATAATTTGTTGGTTAATTTAAAAAAGTTTACGTATAATTAAGTGCTTTAAGGGCTTTTAAGCCGGAAGTTGGCAATGCAAATTCAATTTGTTCCCCATATGTAAATATAGGTATTGTTGGAAAGACTGCTTTGCCACCAGTTTCACCACGCCAAATTCCAATTAACCATGCTAATGGTTTCAGTAATTCTGGCACATAGCGTACATCAAATTCTGAAATATTTAAACATATAAGAATGAGCTCTTTAAATTTGCTAAAAAAGTTAAACGAGTTAAATTTTTCTTAAGTTTCATATATAATTATTCATATTCCAACGTATGTCATTCTATGCTTAAATTCACAGATGTACATGAAAATTTTAGCAAATAAATTATTAAATTTATATCAAAAAAAAATCACAAAGTTAATAGAATTAAAGATTACTTGATATAAAAATAAAAAGTATGAATACAAAATGCAAATATAAATTTAGAATAAGCAAAAAAAAAACGATTAAAAAAGATTTATTTTCAAATAAATGCTAACTTTTTTCGATTTCACCACATATCATACATGTCATTAAACAATTTTTCTTAACAAATGCTGATTTGAAGCATTGATTTCCATCCTGTGCAATTAGATCAAAACAATGTCGATCCAAATCTTTACATTTTTCTGCTACAAAATAAATACAATTTTTATGCATATTTTGTAATTTTATGTTTAAAAAGTTTTTTTTTCAATGAAAATTGCTCCTAACACTTTTTTAAAGTAATTTTTTGAATTTAAATTTAGGAGTTATTTATGAAATCTTATTGTAATTAAAAATTTTACAATGCTGAAAATGAAAACAACGAATGGAAAAGTAAAAGAAATGAAAAGAATTATGAAGGAATGAAGCGAAAAGAATAGAAAAAAAAAAAAAAATCTCTCAAATGCGGTCATATTAAAAACCGTGTTCGATGAAATTTTTTTTTTTCATTTTTTTTGCGAAAATTTAAAAAATAAAAATGAAAATTATTTCTAAGAGTAACAAGTTTGATATAGAAATATAATTTTTTTTAACTTTTACAACATCTGAAATATAATACTTCCGTTTTTCTCACCACGTACATGAAAATAGATATTTCAATTATATTAATAGATCACGCATAGTTAAGTGATATACGTTGAAAGAGTACGTATAATTAGTAAAATAGCATGAATGAGAAATTGCTAAAGTAATAAAATGTATTTGAAAAATTGAGTACTTATTATATTCATTTACCTAATCATATTATCGATCTTTTAATTTATTATCATCTTATTCGAATTTTATTATACACACAGCATTGGAATCATAAAATTAATTGGTTAATCAAGTTCCATTTTAAACTAATCAAATTCTTATTCCAAGAACATTTTGGAAGCGATTAATTTGCTTTATTTCGAAAATCTAAAATCATTCATAAATTTGTCATCCAAACGAATGATGTAGGACAATTGATAGTTTTAGGCATTAAAAAAAAAAGCAAAAAAGAAAAAGAAAATAAAATTAGGCATTAAAAATATGGCGCAATTTGCCATGCGCTAAAACAACTCATCATCATCATCATCTTGCTATATGATATTTAGTATTTGCGAATTTTTCAAATAATGGGAGGAGAAAAAAAGACAAGGGAATATCCCATCTGCATCATTAGAAAATCAGGAGAGTATTTTAGAATGAAATTCTGAAATATAATTTTGATAACAAATATTTGGTATCAAAATAAAAAAAAACTAGAATTAATGGATTTATTTCAATCAAAAAAAAAAAAAAACTCATTTCTAAGGTGGACAAATCGACGAAGTAGATTACTTTTTTAATTTTTAATAACATTTGAAATATTCAACTAACCTGAAATCTTTGTTTCAGCATTGATCATCAGCGTAAATGTACCAAGTGAAAATAAGCAGTTATAAAATTGCATCGTATTTTTGTGTGCATAAATGTAGACAATATCCAGAAAAAAGCTGAGGAAGAATGAAATTTAAATTTGACACTTTTTTTTTTCAAAATTGACAAAATTAAATTATATCAATCATGAAAAAGTTGTGGGAAATGGATAGATGAGCACATGTTCTTCGAGCTGTAAAAATAATTGGAAAAGAATTTCGTTTCTAACTTTTTTTTTTTTTTTTTTTTGTATTCCAAAATTAATCAAATTAAGGAATTATTTTAAAGAACGCAATAAGATCAATCGATGATTTTCTTAGGTATCGCCAGATGATATTGATTTATCTATTACTTTAAAAAAAGTGGCATTTCGCTATGATACCACACGTAGGCGAAATAATAATACCTGTTTTAAAAAGATGAGGAATGAAAAGAAAAAAAATAGATAAAAAAACGAGTCCTTTTTAGAAAGTTGAAAAGGCAAAAATTTCTTCATTGCATTCCAGAAATTAAATTATCAAGTATAAAGAATGAAATCATTGTATAACGAAATTATCGTATTAAAGATAAAATTATCGTATCAGGCATACAAGATGAAATTATCGTATCAGGCATACAAGATGAAATTATCGTATAACAGTTAAACACATATCATACTTATTTACACTTTTTTTTAAGCATATGAAATGCTTCGAAAATATTTAAACTCAAGCTTTTTCAATTAAATTACACTAATTAAGTTACGCAATTACTTCAACGTTTCATCCATTCATATGAATACATTCATTTTTTTCGCTTTATAAATACAATCAATGATAAAATCATATAAACATATATCTTTTATGTACTGTAACAGTTTAATGTTATCCTAACATTCGAATCATTGAAATGTTCATTGTAACAAAATCGTTATATTAATTTATTACAGGATTATTGTTTAGATTATGCTATTTCATACATAATTTATGCAAGATTAAAAATACAAGTAATGAATACTTTATTTAAATGATGCATGCAAAAAATTGCATGCATTGCAATCATAAAACATGCAATCATACATTGGTTAATTTTATTAAAATTTATTGTTAAATCATATATTATTATCAAATCAAATTCAAA